CATTTTTATTATTATTACTTTTTTAAGTTGTAAACATTTTAGTTCATAGATATTTATATTTTAAGTTGTATATATTTACATTTAGTAATAGTTAATATTAATACTATATTTTAGTTATCATGTAAAAAAAAGTTATAATGTCATATTGGATACCAAGTCTATTGAAACTGTCAAACACCGCGAGGACACCGGTGACCGCAACCTATTGTTCTTTAATTGTGTCTATAATGACGATACTCAAAGTGTTAAGTCTATATTTTATTTAATCTATTTGATTTAAAGTCTATCCCACCAAAAACATTCCGTAAAAACTAGCCAAGTCTCGATGGACCCGCTCGTTCTTCTTTAATGAAATCTAGACAAAGTCGTCCAAAGTTTTCTATTTGTTGACGTTGCAAAAGTATCAAATTACGATTTATTTGAAATAAATGCTTTTGACTTGGAATTTGAGTTTGTAATATGTTTTTTTTATATAACTAGCTTCTGCCCGCGACTTCGTACGCGCAATCCCGTTTTCTCCCGTTCCTATTTCTGTAGTAAGAACCTTCTCCTGAAAATAACAAACACAACAAAAAAAATCAGCCAAATTGGTCTAGCCGTTCAAGTTATGGCGTGACAACGGGAAACGGGTTTCATTTTTATAAATACTAGCGGACCCAACAGACGTTGTCTTGCATATCCACTTGAATGTATTAACAAAAATTCATTCTAATTAGTTCAGCTGTTTAGGATAATAACCTAAACATCGACTGCAGCGCCATCTGCCGGGCTGATTTGTGAATCTAAACCATTCGGTTTAGATTTTCAAGGTTCAAGGGGATCTCGTAATCCAGACACACACAAAAAATGTCATCAAAATCGGTCCAGTCGTTTGCGAGAAGTTCAGTGACATACACACTCACAGAAGAATTATATATATAAAGATGTAGAATAGAATATATTTTGAAAGATATATATTGAAAGATAGCGTTGATGAAATATAACTAGGTACGTGGAATGGACAAATTAACTTTTTTTGTAGAAGTCATTACCGGAGGAATTTCGAAACCAATTTTACGTGGAAACAATACATTACTAGTTTTTTGCAGGAATTTAAATAGGTAGTCTGGATATCTAGATTATTTTTAATGGAAGTGTCCATTGTGTGGGCTAGTGAGCCCACACAATGAGTTATAAGCTAAAAACGTAACGTAGGTAGTTATTCATAATACTATAAGTTCGTACATACAACACGCCTGTCTCCCATGGGTTTTTTTTTTAAGGGGGGGAAAATCATCGAATGACTGCTCCCGCCTGGGTGAGGCGGGAGGGAGTGTCAGACTCTTACTGACTAAAAACCACCCCGTTCCTTCTCCTGCACGTCGAGCCGGAGCTCCGGTTACCCGTTAGGTTCTCCCATAGGGGTAGGCAGAGACTACGGAACGCGTAAAGTACCCATAGATACTCTTATAATTACAGTAACTTCATTTTCCGCCGGTGTGACTGATAAAAAAATATTCAATAATATACATATTTATGAGTACGTAAAGTAATTATATAAGTTTGTTTGTATTCAGTAGTTTCAGCGTGATTGACGGACAAACAATATAATAAAACAGTAAAAATATCGCGTCTGTAGGTACATACAAAAGATATTTTTGAAAAAAAAAAACAAAAACAGGGTGACTAAATAAAAGTAGCAGCGTTCATTTTTACCGACTTCAAAAAAAAGGAAGAGGCTGTTGGGCTGACTGTTTGCACAGACTAATTTATAATATTAGTGTGATGATTACAAATAATACTTCATTCTTATTTTGACTGCCTCGTTGGCCGAGTGGTCGCAAGTGCGACTGCCAGGCAAGGGGTCTCGGGTTTAATTCCCGGGTCGGGCAAAGTATTACTAGGTTTTAAAAAAAATCTCAGTAGTAGAACGGAGTCTGGAATTGTGCCCGGTATATGGCCATAGGCTCACCCCTATTACATGGGACTCATAACATAAATAGTGAAAAGTGGGTGTTACCTTGTACAGTGGCATAATGTGCACTACTACTGCCTACCCCTTCGGGAATAAAAGGCATAATGTTATGTCTTATAATTAATTTCAATCTTATGTTTATTTTAAAATCAACTTCTTATAGAAGCTTCCTAATGTTTGGTTACTTAATATAAATCGTGATCTAGTACAACACATGTTTCGTCTGCGCATGCGCACGGCCTTCAGTCAAGGTCCTCTCGTACAGTTTTATTATTGTTTATATACGAAACTTTTGGAAAAACATCAGGTTTTTATCTTCTACAAACATTTATAAAGACTGAGTTTTGAAAAGAGGTTGGTTTTAGATTTTTTTTATAGAATAGGAGGCAAACGAGCAGACGCATCACCTGATGGTAAGCGATCAGCGCCGCCCATGGACACCCGCAACACCGGAGGAGCCACAGGTGCGTTGCCGGCCTTTTAAAAAGGAATACGCTCTTTTCTTGAATTGGGTAAGGTTAGTAAAAGAAAGTAAGTTAGAAAAAAGATCTATTAAAATCTTATCCTATTTCTTAATTTCTTCGTATTTCTTTGCGCTCTGAATCAACAACGTTTTAAGTGTGGGAGAACCATGCTGTGGCACAAATGGGCCGACTCGACCGGAGTGGTACCACGACCGAGCAGAAGAGCATAGTGAAACAATCACAGCATTGTGCGTGAGGTTACCAGAGACCCAATTACCCCCTTCCCCATCCCCCTGAATCCCCAACATTCCTGCGGAACTGATAAAAGTGGTTGCTACTTACTCAATGATAGACCGACTGACTGACAGATAATATGCAGCCAAAATATTACCGTAGCGAGTTGGCATTTAAGTTAATTTGGTTTAATACCGACGCATTGAACTAAACTTTGACATATTTTTTTTTAAATGTGGAGGATAACGAAATATTTTCCGATACGAGCACAGGATCAAAGGAAAATATATTTTTTGAAGGACATACTGCAAATGAGCTAATGGATCTTCTCATGGTAAGCGATCAGCGACATTTTATAGACAATCAAAAGGTGAGATTCAAAGAATTAATTTTCTCATGTCCGTATGTTAATTTCTCGGTAATTTTCCTATACGTTTGGCAATGATGCTTTTTATTGACGGCTCGGATGGATGGACCTTCACCGTTGCATTTTGATGGATGATAAATAATGAGTTTGATGGCTGTTTATTTTCTCAGAAGAGTGTAGATAGACGTAAATAATGCAGAAGTTTTACGAGTCCTATCTATCAAAGTACTTATCCTATCTATTATTTAGATTTTTTTTTATTTATTTACACTTCTGTATATAATATAAGATGGCGGACTTAATGTCGAGTGGCATTCTCTAACAGTCAACCATGTTGTTTTCACCAGTTAATTCTTTATTATATTATATTATTCTTTATGACCTAACAATAACACTAGGTACTTTAGTTAAAATTGTATATTCAACGCTTTATTAGAGGGTTTAGTGACTATGAAATCGAATCCGAACCATTTTATTCCATAGTCGGACTGTTCATTTCTCAAACAACGAGACAGTCATTTTAGAGGTCAAGCTTTGATTGTTTAAACTGTCAAACACCAAGCGGTCACCGGTGACCGCAACCTATTGTTCTATAATATTGTGTCTACAAAACCGGTACTCGACGAGTTAAACAGACGATTTTGATCTGAATATGCCCCAAGACATTAATTTTGTCCTCAAAAGACTGAAAACTGGTATAGTTCCAAGTCTAACCACATAGCATTGAAAAAGTCGTAAAAAATGTTCAGTAGGCAACAAATCTCGGATACCTATTACTAAAACTTGAATACTGTCACAACTATGACGCATAAAAACGAATAAAATAGAACTACCAAAGACACGCAACGCGACAACACAAATTGTCTATGACACATTCGCACAGATAAAAAATATAAGCAAAGAGACAGTTGCCATACAAACTCACCTCTTCGACGGACTTCTTGGAGAACTCGTTCATGGACACAATCCATTGCTGCACCAGTTCATTCACAATAACTAGATCATTATATAACCACGTCAATAGGTCATTCACCCATTGTACACTCGGCGGGTCGGGGCCCGTACACGTAGGTACTATGATGCTTTGGTGTTTCTTCAGCGTCAGCTGTTCGGGCCCAGGGGACATGCGACCTAACCTTCTCTTGTTCGGAGGAGTGGCTGGCACGAACCCAGTAGGTTTAGCAGGTTTAAACGAAGCACTTTTAACCTTAGCACTGGTAACTAGCACACTATCAGCACTGTTAATAATTTCATTCGATGTTTTCTTCACTTCTTCAACAGTCGTTTTTTGTTTTGTATCGACCTCGGCTACTTTGTTCGCGAAGCGGGAATACGCCCATTTTGCGATGCCTAACAGGACGATGGAGAACAGTATCCATATGAAGATTAGCATGACTAGGTTGTCCATGGCAGTGTCCATATAATCGAAACTACATATGAGATCGTCAACTGCTTCGGCTAAGTCGGCCATAGTTTTCCATGGTGCTTCCCACCAGCGCGCGGCGCCCGTCCCCGCCGCTGTGTCTTCGATCACTGACTGAGACTGAGCCATTTTTTTTTCTATTTTCGAACGCACTATTTTCGGATTGAGCTCTGTCTCTCTCTCGCTGTGTCTCTCTCTGTTTTGAATGCGTTCAATTTCAGTTTATTAACATTTCGTTCGTTCGTGTTTTTCGTAGTTTCAGTTACCCTCGGGTTTCCTGCATTGTTTTCAGACTCTGTAACAAATAGAAATATTTTACTTAGTAAGTATTTTATAGTCTTGATGGTACTTATCACTATTATCAGAGATGTAAATCATTGCTGAAAACGGACATTTTCCAAAAATTTGAAAATATTAAGTTTTGTTACCCCTGAAATTAAAATAACGACCTAATTTTACTTGCATTGTAACCAAATTAGTGCTAATTAGTTTTAACTATACAATTTACAACTCAAAAACAGCTGAACAGATTTTCATTACATTTAATCTTCCTAAAATTAGACGTGAAACAAATTACCTTATTTTTTCTCTTAGATCCTTTAAAAGAAATGCCTGCATCTCAAAATTGAGTTCACGACACACCGCATAAGGTAACAATGTCATTTGAAACAATAGGCGATTGCCTATTGTCGTACAATAAGGCACAATATGTTGTATGTTGTAGGTACGTATGATATAACGTCGCGGTCAACCGTAACTGATGATGTAATTACTAAGTTATATGCGTGTATGGTAGCGCATATGAATGACGATCAAACTGATAAAGGGATCGGTAGAACTAAAAAAGAAAGTAATTTTATTAGATCAATCACCAGCCGATAAGTGCTTACTGCTGACCAAAGCCTCATGGATGAGGATCAAGCATTAATCACCACGTTTGCTGTCGTTTTATAAAAACATAAGAGATAAAAGAAAAGGAGCCATGATAAAAGAAGTGATAAAGCGAGTGCTGAACTTAAATGTGGATGGAAAAGAAGAAGGACGAACAAAAAAAGATACATTGGGTGAGGAAAGATATGAAAGCAAAGAGAATAGGGTAGATGCCTAATTTTTATTTTAATGTCCGTCCGGTAGATTATTTTAAATCATTAGACACGTGTTTTTTATTTTCTTACGGAAACGAATACTTTCGACGATATATTTATTTGAAATGTGACGTCACTTCTATGTACAATTTATACGTAGAACTGACGTTTTAGCCCCCACTCCTAAACTTTGATTCGTTTTATCTTATTGTTTTATTATACGACAAAATAAAAAAAATACGTGTCTAATATTTTTTCATTACCTAACTTACGGACTAATTATATTTTTAATTTTCATACCCTGTCATCATCCCAATTAGTGATGGGATGACGCATGAAAGGGGATAATGGAAAAAAATTCGCCTAACACTAAAATTTTGACTCAATGATCCGAAACAAGGAAAATACAGAATACCAGATAAAACAGTAATTGGGCACTTTCCTTAATCAAAAATAAATTATTTCTATTGTTCAATACAATGAAATATTACACAATAATCACACTTTCATTCATTGATCTGATGACCAACTTAATTTTAGTATTTTTCCAGCAAATTAAAAAAAAAATAAGTTTTTATGCTGTTCGAAACTAAAAAACCGTGACGTCACAATACACAATCTCGTACAAAATTCATAAAAAAACTGTCGTTTTTGACAGTTCGAAAAAAGTATTGAATTTGACTAGTTAGCAAGTACCCAATTACAGATGTATTACAGTAACTGCTTACTACCAGGCAGTCGGTTTCAGGTATAACAGTAGTAGATTTAGATGGTATAAAAATAATAACACTATAGGAACTGTCAAAACGTGTAGACATCGTTAATCCACTTTCGGGTTTCAGGATAAGCAGTATTACAAACATAACATAGGTAGTGTTTATTTTATTTGTAGACAATTAGATAATCTGAGTGTCTGACCGTCTAATCCAATTTTCATTAAACCAATTAATAGAGCTACATTAATTGGACAAGGTCAAACGTATTAGAAATGTTTCAAGATCAAAATTGTTGTTATGGGAAATCTGAATCATCATCATTCCTTAACTCGTCGAGTACCGTCATCATAGACACAATTATAGAACAATAGACAGGAGGAATGGAGGAGGTGATCGAGGAAGTCCTCCTCTTGTGTCGTGGCTGCTTTTATAATGACGTACAATTTGAAATACACAGAAAGAAGGAAATAAAAAACATTTATTCGACACTCAGCAACATACATCACACCCAGACTTTTTCAGTAATAGCATTCAATCTGGAATTGGGATGATGACAGGGTATGAGAATTAAAAATCTAGGTAATTAGTCCGTCAGATAGGTAATGAAAAAATATTAGACACGTATTTTTTATTTTGTCGTATAAGTTAACAATATCTAGTTGGATAAAACGAATCAAAGTTTAGGAGTGGAAGGTAGCTACGTCATTTTTGAGTACAAATCCTGCTTAAAAGTGACGTCATGTGACATTTCGAATTAATATTTATCTTCGAAACTATTCGTTTCCATAAAAAAATAAAAAATACGTGTCTAATGTTTTTAAATAATCTACCCGACGGAAATAAAAATAAAAATTAGTCATCTACCCTATTGGGTCTCCGGTAACCTCACCCACACGACGAAAAACGCAACGCAAGCGTTGTTTCACGTCGATTTTCTGTGAGGCCGTGGTGTCATTCCCCGGTTACCCGTTAGGTTCTCCGCGACAAATAGGTACCACCTAAGGTTGACTCAGCCTGAGTCATAAGCCTAAAGTCTAGTACTCACGACCATGACTGATGCTAGACGGTATGACCTAATTCTAGCTATCAGGCGGCCATATTTGATTTTTGACCTCACAAACACGCTTGTTAATTAGACGAGTATTCCGGTGAAGTTTTTAATTTGATTAGATATAACATTGTTATTTATTGTTCAATGTCAAAGGGGTCATACAGAAATATTATGTGTATATCAAGTGTGGGAGAGCCATGCTTCGACAAGAAAGGGCCGGCTCGACCGGAGTGATACCACGGCTTCTCAGAACCGACGTGAAACAACGCTTGCGTTGTGTTTTGTCGTGTAAGTGTGGTTAGTTGGTTACCGGAGACCCAATTAACCCCTCCCCCAATCTCCCCAATCACTGAAACCCCAACAATTCCTAATCCCACTTGTAACGCCTCTTGTGTTCTGGATGTCCATTGGCGACGCCGTTTGCTTACCATCAGGTGATCCGCCTGATTATTTACCGGTTTATCTCATAAAAAAATGTATGCAAAATTATGTTACTCAATCACTCTAAAACAGCTATATGTATCTGGATGAAATTCGATGTCAGCATCAAAATAGTCTGTGTTCCTTTGCTGTCTGGGTTTTCTCTACATAAGAGGGTTTGCCAATCTCTACGCTTGGTCGAGTACAGAAATCACAGTATTAAGGTTCAGGTCAAAGAAACTAAAAATATTTTGTTCTAATACACATTAAAAAAAATCACTCACCTATTACGTATGTATGAAGATGACGAGTAAAATTGCTATCAAATTCCATAACATAACATCACGCCTTTTATACCCGAAGGGGTAGGCAGAGGTGTACATTATGCCATTGTATAATGTAACACCCACTTTTCACTATTTATGTTATGAGTGCCATGTAATAGGGGGTGAGCCTATTGCCATGTACAATCCACAATTCCAGACTCCGTGCTACTACTGTGAATTTTTTTAAAAGCCCAGTAATACTTTGCCCGACCCGGGTATCGAACCCTAGACCCCTTGCCCGGCAGACGCACTTGCGACCACTCAGCCAATGAGGCAGTCTTCAGCTTCAGCTATCAGATTCCATAAGACATTATTTAGCGCTTAAGTCATTCTGTCAATAAATTTAATCATGTTTTAACGAAACCAGTGAGTCACTTCACAACTGATAACCATTCCCGCCAGACGAGTGCCTATTACGTGTAGCAGGTAAATTAATTTTAGATTTTATGTTATGAATTATTAATGGCATATCGATATAAAGTCCTTGACAGTCAATAAATAATAATGTTAGTGGGAAAATGATGCTTTTTGTAGTATAATTTAGCGATAATAATATACTCGGTAAGGTACTATGAAAATATTTGTAATAGTTGTTTATTAAAACATTCAATAGAATATTAGTCTTGTTGTCTACTGACAACAAGACATACAAGTACTCTTGTATTATTAACACTTAGTAGTTTTTTAATCATTAAAATTTCATGTATCTACGAAAAATGATATTGTTTATGTATGAAAGAATAAAAATGACATTTTGATAAGTAAGTGATTTAATTATCCTCGGTTTTTTAAAGCTTTTCATAAAAAAGACCTGTAAGATTTTATATCTTTAGTTTGACCCTCCGATTATCTGTTAGGTATCCAAAAGTAACATTCGAGATTTCCCATCAGTTAAAAATATTAATTTTCATGTCAAGGCCAGCCTTTTCATTAAATAAAACAATGAACAATTAAACAAAGCCTTATAGAAACAAACACGATGTAATTAAACATTCAAAGCATTAACACCATATTCATTATATGTCTGACCTTGAGTTTTTCATTATACACACATTTAAAATTACCTAATGAACAAAAAAGGCTAAACTTAATGCCTTTTCGGTTGAAAAACTGCTTCAAACCAGTTTTTTAAATCAGTCTAGGTTTTATTCAATGATAATTAATTTTAAACCAATAACAATTGTTAATAAATCACGATCATGAGGTAACTATTAATAAATTTTATCGAGTTTATATTTAATATTAATATTTTAATTTTAGCCTTCACCTACCTCATTATTACCAAACTATCTCTTCAGTGAGTTACGTGCATACAAACGCAGAAGTACCTAACGTACTCCTACAAACTAGTGTGTTTAGATGAAAAAAAATTAAAAAGTTATATTCAAAACCAAATTCGATATTTAAAATTCTAATTAAAGTTCAATAGCAATTGCTTACGTCACCACTTGCCATGCTCATAACGATACGTAATGCAACAGTATCGGTCGACCTGACCTTGTATGACATCATCGCGAGGTCATAGATTAACAGCTGAATTTTTAATCTATGTGCAATGAATTTAATTTATAATACGTCTGTCGTACAAAATGGCGGGCGATCTACTGTTTTAGATCAGGCTTTTATCGCAATTAATAAAGCTAGCGAATCATATTTTGATCATGTATATTTTCATTGACATAAGGCGTCCATTGTTA